CTTATCTCCAGATTTAAAAATTGGTGTTATACGGGTAATTTTTAATTTATTAGGAACAATACCTGACTTTAATGAGAAATTGAAAATGTGAAATAAAGAAGGTTCAATGACTTTAAATACTGATTTGACAACATCAACACTAATTTTATCAAAACCTTCACTTTTTTTACTTTTGAGACTGCTAAATGCAGTTCTCAACTCACTCAGTTTTAAATCAGTTTCATCCATAAGTTTATCATAAGTTTTTAAGTATGAATCAAATGGAATGGAATTAGTAGAAATTTTAGCAGCTAAATTCGGACCAATATTAACAAAGTAGTTGTTTAGTTCTTCAGCTATAATTGATTTTTCATAAACTAATTCTCCATTAATTAAAAGATTTTTTGGCAGAGTGCTTTTGTTATAATTATTTTTTCTAATTAAATCCTTAATTAAATTCCATATTTTTTTAGTGTTTCCGTTGGTTTTCTTTAATAATTGATCATAAAATAGTTTTTTTGAGTATTTTTTGGTTTTTTCAAATATATTTTTATAATTTTTGTAAGTTATTTCATTTTTATAAGTTTTTTTTTAAGATATTTTATATATAATTTTTCTTTCTTTTTTGAAGATTTTAGTAAGCCTTTAGACATCCAGGGAGCTTGAAGTGACTTGGTATTTATGACTTTTTTTATTTCTGGAAACGCTATTTCATATTGTTTGCAAAATTGATTAAGAAACAAGTCATATGCATTGTTAGCCTCATTTGATTGCAGTACTAGATTCCAATCAACACAATTTTTTAAACAATTTTTAAATTGTTTTAAGGAGTTTTCATTGATCTGTCGCCGAATTATTATGGATTTTGTGGAAATATTGTTAATTAAAATGTTATTTGTAGCTAAGAATGTAGGAAAATGATCCGATAAATTGGTCTGGATTATACCTGTGTAAAGAGGGTTATTATGAAAGTTGTTAGTTATTATGTTATCAAGTAGAGTAGAAGACCTATTTGTTATTCTTGTTGATTTGTTTATTGTTGGGATAAAGTTATATTGTAGAAGAGTATTTATAAAATTCTTAGTATTATTATTTGAAGCATAGTTGATCAGGTTAATGTTAAAATCCCTCACCAAATAAATATGTTTTCTCGAATTTGTAATTTTGTTTAGAAATGTTTTAAGATGAGTTTTAAATTTCTTTAAGTTTCCAGATGGTGGTCTATATGTAGTATTTATAATTATGTTTTTTTCTTTATTATTTACTAATTCGACGCACAATGATTCATAATCTGTTTCATTGACGCAGAGATCGTTACGTAAAATATAATTAACTGAATTATGGATAAAAATACTAACGCCCCCACCCGCATTAACTTCACGCGGTTGGTGAATTGATGTGTAATTAACTAGTTCAAATTCATAATTTGTTTCACCGCATTTACACCAAGTTTCCGTCAAACATATAATTTTAAAATCGTGTTTAATTTCATCCAATAAAATTTTTAAATTTTCAAAGTTTTTATTTAAACTTCGAATATTGATATTTAAAATTGAAAAAGTGTTTTTAGTTTGTCCTAGATATTGCGAAGATTCAGAAACTGAGTAGTATTGACTTTCTAGCATTTTGTGATTGAAATAATTAGAGTCGGTGTCATTATCACCGATGATGTCATTTTCATTAGAAGATTTAAATATGACATTTTCCTCCATTTTTAAAACAGTTTAATTAAATATGCATAGTAATAATAAAAATGAAATTGCGTTAATTAATGCCAAATATTATGAAGATAAATTTTTGCTTTTCTTTGCAACCCAATCGCGAATTATCAATTTATCATAAGATATGAAGGCAAACTTACCAGCGGCTCGTTCAATTTTCATTTTCTCCCTCAAATTTTTTCTGATTTGTGTTGTTTCAAAACAGAAGTCTTCGTTTATACAAATGTTTTTCCCTTTTAGCTTACTCGACTTGCTCAAGATCGCGACTTTATCTCTAAAATCTAAAAGTTTTATCACTATTGTCCTCGGCATTTTTAATTTTTTGTTTCCAGTTCTATGGGCCCGTTCAATTTGGACATTTTTAACTGATAATATATCTTCAAAAAATTTTTTTACCTTCATTTCGCTTTCTTCCCAGCTTTCACCTTCATTTACATCAATTCCATCTACTCTTAAATTGTTACGTCTAGATCGATCTTCCAATTCCCTTAACTTTTTTTGTATACTTTCTGAATTGTCTTCTTTACTGCAAACGTTTGCTTTCTTAACTTTTTCATCAATTAGTTGTTCATGAAAGTTTAAACTAAGTTTCAATTCTTCGATGTCTTTTTTTACTTTTTCCAACCTGCCATTAAATATTTTCAAGTTTCCACTAATAATATCAATAAAAACTTTTTCTTGTTGTTTTAACATCAACTCAAATTCTTTTTTGTAGTCCTCAAACAATTTTGTTATTTCTAATAATGTAACAGCCATATTATAAAAAAAAAAAGATTTGTATTTTAGAAAAATAAATGTAAAGTAATTTCGCTTTAATAAAGTCGTTTAAAAAAAACACGTCCGATCGCGTTGAAGTTGCGGCTAGTAGTTTAAAGCAAAAAAAAAAGTTAAAGTTGATGATGGTGGAAAAAACGTTTGTGTTATGGCTATTGTCTTATAAATAATGTTATTTTTACTAAGTGGAAACAAGCGAGTGTACCAAAAACTTACGATTGCATGCAAGTGTGTAAAATATATACAACTCTCATACAGCAAATTGAGCGACGGTTGAAAATTTTGTTTGTCTAAACTCTTATATTTTGTTTGTCTAAACTCTTATATTTTGTTTGTCTAAACTCTTATATTTTGTTTGTCTAAACTCTTATATTTTGTTTGTCTAAACTCTTATATTTTGAGTCTTGTACATGGTAAGAATTTATTTTCTCGCTTGTTTGGCATGACAATAGACACCATTATCCGATGGTTGTAGAATTTGTGAAGAATACTCTGGTAAACAAGTTAAGATTATATTATGGTTTTTGCACAACAACACCGCTGCCAAAGTTATGTCAGTCGTATTCCCATCTAATACTAAAACATGAATACCAACAAATTGCTCAGTTTTGGGTATAAATTTTTCTTTCAGCCATTCAATAAAAGTATTGCGCTCCATCAAACCTGATTTTGAAATCAAATATTTAGTGCCAACTGGACTTCCTCTTGTCCAGTCAGGACCATTTTTTTGGCTTTGTATATCACAAATAGTGGTGCAAATGCATTATTCTAACTGCACAAAAATTATACGATCAGAATGGGAATTAAATTTCCAACAAAATAGTGCTAAAACAATTTTTATATTATTTTTTTGGCTATTATATTATTAGTTCAGGCACTGTTTCGTTTGCAACGATAAGAAATATATAAAAATTTTGAATATATAAAAAACTGCGTTGAAGTTGTATAAAAAAAAAAAGAGTTTTTATATTATAATATCGATCAGAGTGCGGAACGATATGATGGTTTGACCCGTAATTACTCTATTCAAAAATTAAGAGGTTTCAAAATGCATATACCAGAATAAGTTCAACTAATAATCTTTTTTTTTTTTTGAGTAAAATTAGATTCTAGGTTTTCGTGATTGGTTGTGTTTTCATAAGTCTTTCATACAGCATGGACAATTCTGTAGTTTTGATTGAAATACCAGCTGGGTAGAAAGTTAATGATGGGCTTATTGCTAATCCCTGATTGATCAAGTGTTTCTGTGTGTAGATGTTTTTGTTGACGACGCGTAGTCGGTTTGTAGTTTTGAATCATTAAATCCCAATTATAATTATAAATAAGACTTTAAAATGCACAATAAAATGGCGGTGTGCGAAAGACAGAGTTGCTAGTCCTTGGCCTTGCTAAAAATTGAGGCATTGGCCTTGGTCTTAAAAAATAAAATACGCACTTTCTTATTGATTTCGTTGAATTTTGCCCTTAGTCTTAGTCTATTTTTACAAAATGTGGTTTTATTGTCACAGCACTTGCTACTTACAGTTGTGTTAATAATTGGCCTTAACGTAAGACAAAAATTGAAGTCTTTGGTCTTAAAAATGTTTGCGTAACCCTTGACCTTGAAGCTTATAATCTTGGCCTAGGTCTTGGGCCAATATTAAAGCCTTATAACGCATGGCCTTGGTCTTGATTCTTTTGGCCTTTTTACCAACTCTGGTGAAAAAACTAAAAAACTAACTCTTGAAAAAAATTTCTAAAATCATCCTTTTTTTTATCTTAATTCTAAACTTTTATATTTTTATTATTATTCAGGCGATTAAAAAATTAGTAATAATTAATAGTTTTGAGAAAAAATTTTAAATGGAAAAAAATTGCTGAGAATTCACGCTCTTGTATCTTTTATATTATTATGCACAATTAAAGCCTTACGTAACACTTAACCTAATTAAATTACTATCCTAATAAACCCATTATCACTATTACAGGGTGGCAGAACTTTATTTTCCCTGATTAACCGATGTAAATTTAATAAATGTAGCAAAAAAAAGCAACAAATCTAAGTCACGCAACATTACTTAAATAATAGAAATTTTTTAAAAACTAAAATATGAATTAAAAAAATAAATTGATTTTTAGTCATCAATAAGCAATAGAAATATGTTGAAACTGAATCCATTAAAATTCCTTCACTTTTCCATGACTTTTGCAAAATTTAATTTATCTTCTGACTTTTAACTTTAGATTTTCTGACCACCCTGTAACATATGCATGAGGGTATTAAAAAAAAAATTTTTAAGAGATAATCTTTATTTTAAAAGTTTATTGAAACTATTACTCTCTGAGGCGTTGCTATAACATTTTATTTTCAGAACAAACGCTAATAATTTATGCAAAATATATTTCAATGTTACGTCAAGTTCAATTTAATATCACTAAACGTAACCTTTTCTATTTAATCGCAACGACATCAAATTGTCGTTAATCAAAATATAGCAGCAAATATTAGCTTATTAAAGCGTTGCATCGATAAAAATAAAAACAAACTTAACTTTTAAAATAAAATTAAAAAAACAAAAAACATCGGCGTAGGAAATTATCTTTAAAATTGTTTAAAAATCATCTTTCACTACGCCTTGAGCGACTGTCTTTCGCCCTGTTTGATTTTTCAGTTTTATCTAATAGAGATTGCAAAGCTCTTGCGCGAAATTCTAGTTCTCTCAAATCAGATGCGGGTTTCACCTCAGATTTTTCTGATGAACTTCCTCTTTCTTTTCGACGCTTGTTAGCATCTCTAGAGTCTGATCGTAATACTGTTCGTTTGTTTAAAGAATCACGTGATTTATCGCGAGTTAAACTTTCATTTGAATCGTGACCTCTTGATCTACTAGTATCTTGTAATCGTTTTCGATCCATCTTATCATGTGAGATGGAACGATTTTTATCATGAGATTGTTGTTCATATTTTGGTATATGTACATGGCCGCTTATTGAATGGCGATTAAGATCCTGCTGATTAGTTCTTCTACGTAAGTCATCGTCGCCCGATCGTCGCACCCAATTACTATGACCCTTGCCACACTCCATCTCCCTTCTGCGTTTTCGTTCGTCGTAACCTTCTGGCTTTTCAGCCTCTCTCTGAAAAATTAATTCCTTTTCATGAATCGTTAGATCACGCGCTTGCTGTTGCGCATTTTCGGTTAACTTTCGTCGCAAGTCAATTTTTTCCATTTCTTGCTGTTGCTGTTTACGTTTATGCGCAATATATTTGGCGTAATGTCGACGCTTTTCATCAGTTTGACGACCACTCTACAAAAAAGCAAAAGAAAAAAACAGAAATGGCCAATAACATCGTTTAATTCATAAAAATAATATGAATGTCTATAGAAAAACATAGAATACCGGAGTTTTCATTTGATTTCTATACGAGGTTTCATCTTCATTTCCCTCTCCATCAGAAGAGTTGCTAGACGAATTTAAGTCAGAACTATCTTGCTGCTTTTTACTTCTATTATCAGCATCTCGCGTGTTTCGTTTACGACGTTCTTTTTCTTCTTGTTTATTTCTAAAATAATATAAGAAAGATGGAGAACCCTAATTCCTAAAAACTATACTATTTAAATTATTTTATAATAAAATGTTATAATTGTAAATAATTACTTTTCATTTCTTTGCTTTCGTTCGTGCTTTTCATCTTCCTCTTCTTCCTCTTCATCGTCATCTTCTTCTTCAGTCTCTTCTTCCGATTCTTCTTTCTCTCTTCTCCGCTTGCGCTTCATTAACTCACGTATTCGACGATCTTTCTCACGTAAACGTCTTTCTTTCTCTAACAAATATCTTTCTCGAATTTGATTGCGTTTTTGATCAGTAATTGAAATATTTTCGTTGTTCTGAAATCAAATTTTTATATTGTACGCATACAACAGTTTTGCATATATTATCATTAAACTCTCAACTCCTAACCTCTCCTACCTTTTAATTCTTAAATTAAAAAAAAACCTTAGAACTTGGTTTTGACTTTATAGAAGAGTTCTTTTCGGAACGGTGGACTTTTTTATCAGAATCTGATGAAGACTCAGCTTCGCTACTGCTTGAAGATTCTTTTTTTTGTTTGATGTTTTTCTGTTTCCGTTCATTTTTTGAGTGTTTTTTTTGTTGCTTCTGGTTTCGATTTTTTTTGTGCAGCTCTTCTTCATTTTCACTAGAAGATTCTTCATCGGAAGAATCATTTTCATCAGCAGAACTTTCTTTTTTTTTCGATTTTTCGTCACTACTTCCTTTTTCTTCCGATTCATCTAATTAAAAACGGCATAATTAAATATATTAACTATAAAAACACAAATTAATATGATTAACAAGTAAAATGTTTACCTTCAGACGATTTAACAGAAGATTCACTCGCTGAAGAATTTGATTTTTCCTCTTCTTTTGATTCCTCTGATTCATTATCATTATCACTTGAGGAGCTTTCTAAATTAAAAGTGTAAAATAACTTATAAAACGTTCATTCAATGATGTTCTATTAAAAATGCTGACATATTCAACAAACCACAAAAAGAAATCAGTTTCTTTTACCTGCATCTTCACTTTCTGTCTCACTGGGAGTGGCGTCAGCTTGGCATTTTTCATCAATAACTTTTACAATTTGTTCTTCTTTTGTTTCCGTTTCGTTTTCGTTAGTTTTCGCTATTGTTTGGTCGCATTCAATTTTTTCTTTTTCTATTACTTCTTGAGTTTTAATATTTTTTAGTTCATCGCTCTCAGATTCTTTATCAACTTCACCACACACTGAGGTTTCCGTGGCATCCTCAACTTCTATTTTATTTAAATTTTTACTTTCATCTTGGTTTTCGGTTTTAATCAGACTGCAAGTGTCTTCTTTTTCTAGTGTTACCTCTAATTTGTCCTCAGATTTCTTATGTTTTTTTAACTTTTTATTTTTCTTTTTCTTTTTTTTCTCAACTTTTTTAACTTCCTTGTCTTCAATAACGGTCTCTTTGTCTTCAACAACGACTTCTTTATTTTTGTCCGTCTCCGTTTTCTTAAAAGAATAAAAAACTTACATAAATAATAAATAAATAAACAAACAAAATGTTACTAATTACTTAAAGTTTCAAATTACTTAGCTAAGGATAAGTAAATAAAATTTATTTTAGCCGGGTATAAAATTTCAATTTTTATAAAACACTAATTATATCTACTAAGGTAGGATTTTTAATTAGGTTAAAAACAAGAGTGGATCAGGTATGAAAGGAGCTCCAACAGTATAAAATATGATAGTTTTTTAAAAATATCTTTAAAAAAAATATTAAAACATAAAAATTTGGCAAGCAAGGCTACTACAACTGCCACAACCATTACCAATATAACCACTACTACAACTACAACCACAACTACTACTACTACTACTACTACTACTACTACTACTACTACTACTACTACTACTACTACTACTACTACTACTACTACTACTACTACTACTACTACTACTACTACTACTACTAAAACTACTAAAAATAATAAAAATAATAATAGTAACAATAATAATAACAAAAAAAATAATACCAATTAAAATAAACTAATAAAATAATAATAATAACAAAAAAATAAAATATGAAACTCCATCCTAAACTATTAGTTAACACTTATACTATAAAGTTATAACACTATAAAGTTAACACTTATACTATAAAGTTATAACACTATAAAGTTAACACTTATACTATAAGGTTATAACACTATAAAGTTAACACTTATACTATAAAGTTATAATGCTATAAAGTTAACACTTATACTATAAAGTTATAACACTATAAAGTTAACACTTACACTATAAAGTTATAACACTATAAAGTTAACACTTATACTATAAAGTTATAACACTATAAAGTTAACACTTATACTATAAAGTCATAACACTATAAAGTTAACACTTATACTATAAAGTTATAACACTATAAAGTTAACACTTACACTATAAAGTTATAACACTATAAAGTTAACACTTATACTATAAAGTTATAACACTATAAAGTTAACACTTATACTATAAAGTCATAACACTATAAAGTTAACACTTATACTATAAAGTTATAACACTATAAAGTTAACACTTATACTATAAAGTTATAACGCTATAAAGTTAACACTTATACTGGCACATTGCATACTGAATGTTTTGAATTGATTTCAAACGGATGATATCAAACTAAAAAAGATTAGACAGGAGCTTTAACAGAAACATCCTCTAAAAGCTAGAGCTTAGGTAGACAGTATAAATGTATTAAGGAGATTGATTTAGTGGTGCCTTATTTCAAAAATTCAAGCCTGCGTTACATTAGTACTAGGTAGACCTTAATTTGCAGTAGTAAACATAAGCAATCCATATTTATAACAGATTAACAAAACAGGCTGCATTTCATAACTTTGTTAAATATATTGAACACAAAACAAACATTAACATTTACACTCAATATTTTAAATGATGTGTAAACAAACCTTTATGTCTTCTGTCTCATCTTCGGATTCACTGCTTGATGATGCAAGATATTGTTGCAAAAGTATTGCACGCAAACGTTTTTTTGAAATTATTTCAATCTCATCAAAACACCAATTTCGAACCATTTTTATATCATATTTCTAAAGAAAAATTTGAGTTTAATTTTGGAACAGCAATAGCAATAAAAATATTAATATATTTATATATATATATATATATATATATATATATATATATATATATATATATATATATATATATATATATATATATATATATATATATATATATATATTACATCCATATAAAATATTGCATACATATACAAATATGCTAAATAACTTACCAACAAACTTTTTGGTAGCATATGCTTGAACTCCTTTTTATTAATATTTCTAAATATCTGCTTAAACAATAATCTATGGTTACCAACATATTCTGTTAAAGATTTGATTGGAATCTCTATATCTCTTAGATGCAGAGGTGTTTTTCTTCCATCATCAGCTTCAATCTTAATAGTATCCAAGGAATGTAACTTTAAAGCATTTTCTAACTCTTCTTTGGTCATTGTTTCCATAGTATTACGAATTTCTTGCAAAGATTTAAGAGTTCGTTCAAACTCGTCATCTTTATCATTCCATTCTTTTGATTTCTCATCCTGCATTAAAGTAGTAATACTAGAGTTGTTATCACAAACAGTGACTGGATTAACAGCTGACTGTACATCACCATCTTTTAGATCAACTTCCATTGGTTGCTCATTAGATTCAGCAACAATTTCATCTTTTTCTTGATCTTCTTCACCTGAGTCTGCAAACATGTCAACTTTTTTTTCAATTTTACATTTGACTTCCTTCACTTTTATAACTTCAAGTTCTTTTTCTTTTATTTTTTCCTCAAGTTTAAGTCTCAACAACTCGCTACTACTCTCAGGTATAGGGAGGCCAACATTGCTATCCTTTATTTCAATTTCATTTTCTTCATCACTTATATCAGTGGCACTAGATTCACTTTTGTCTTCTCGTTGTCGACCTCGAGCTATCAAGTTTTTGTCAATTTTACTTTCAAGTTGCGAAACTTCTAAACGCAAGCGCTCTTTTTCCGCAGCTTCACGTTTTTTTTCAAGTTCTAGTTGTTCTAATAACACTTTTTCTTTTTCAATTTCCTCTTTGGTTTTTAAAGGAACTTCTTCTAGCTGAGCTTCAATAACAGGTAATTTTTCCAAATCTTCAGAATTTTCTAAAATAACAGCTGATGGCACAGGACTAACACTTACTGAACGACTTTTTGAGCGACTAAAACTTTCCAAAGCAACAGAAGATTGACTAAAATTATTAAATGCTATTTCTATTAAAATATTGTTGAAAATTATTACAACAATATATTTTAATACCATTTTATATATATATATATATATATATATATATATATATATATATATATATATATATATATATATATATATATATATATATATATATATATATATATATATATTCATAAATGTTCACACAGACTAATTTTTGGATCAAGTAGGCTAAGTTATCTTTTATTAATAAAAAAAAATAATTTTAATTTTTGTTTAAAAAAAATCAATTTTAAAATGAATTATATATCAAAGCTTTAGAATGAATGCAAATTTATTAAAAAAAAAAAAAAAATTCAAACAAACATATTAAAAACAGAAGCACAGAAGTTTATGTATAAAAGATTATAACAAAAATACAAGCAACACATTTGATTGTTTTAAAATCTGGTTATTCTAGCACTAAGGCATCATATTGAACATTTTAACTTAAAATTATTTATATTTTTATATTTTTAAATTTTATATTTTTATATTTTTTATATTTTATATTTTTAATTTATTATTTTAAATTATTTTAAATTTTATATTTTTATATTTTTATATTTTTTATAATTTTATATTTTTAAATGTTATATTTTTAAATTATTTATATTTAATTATATAGTGTATGATGCCCTAACTTGTTGAAAAAAAAATTTGTTGCGATCTCTATGATGGAACTTGTTAAGCTTTTCATAGGCATAATGATTAATTTGACTTTTAAACACCATAGGGTAAAAGATTTGTTTTTTGCTGTATTCTGCTCTTTGAAACTTTGTATACCTATAACTTTTTACTCATATACTCTCTTCAAATGAAATATACAGCAAAACGTACAGTAAAGAAATTATTATACGTTACTATCCCATTATTATTGTACTTTATTGTTTTTACTTAAAAATTATTTTACAAAGTTATTTAACAAATATATTTTTTGCAGTATGAAATCTTTTTTTTGCGGTAGAAAAATTTATTTATTGCGGTATTTGAAAAAATGAGTAACATATAAACTGTTTTTTGAGAAAAATTTATAAAGTTAAAAATTAAATCATAAGAATATAAGAAATTCAAATTTCATTTTTAAAAACAACTAAAACCATATTAAATATTTTTAGCCAGTAAATCATGCTCCTTTTTAGCAACAGGTCTTCTTTTTTTTATCTTCTTTTGCATTATTTTTCGTTCTTCACAAATCTTTTTCTTTTCTTCTTTTTCCATTTCCCTTTTTTTCTTTTCTTCATCATCATTTTTATACATTTCTAAAACTTTGTCACTCATAAAGATTCCATAATTAATTTTCTTGTATTTCCTATTTGTTTTGCGTTTAATTGGTTCTGGAAGTTTGCGCACATCATAAATTTAAGTTGAAGAAACTGGAATAGCTGTTTCATTATGAAATGCTGATGTAAGTATATCAAGCTGCTGCTTCATAACTAAAGAATTCAGAACATAGTAACCAGGGGTCTGGCTCAAAAGGTTATGCAATGGTTCTATATTTTCCTGAATTTTCGATATGTAATAGATGTTGCTTTATCAATTAGTAAAAATATTTAATCTAAAAAATAAACCATTTTATTCATAATTACCTTGAACAAGAGCAATTAGTTCATTACTGATAATGTTTTTACTAGAAAAAGCTACGTTTGAAAAAAAAGGAATTTCAAAACATTCAGAAGTTACTAGTGCATCTGAATTGGAAGCAGGTTCAGAATCATTATCTACTCCAATACACCACTCAAGATGAACATTCTTAATATTTAGTGGAAAAATTCCTGTATCACGGAAACCATTTTTGTTCCTATACCACGGAATCTATTTTTGTTCCTGTACCACCAATTCCTGTACCACGGAAACTATTTTTGATTTTGTAATAATTCTATCATTCATTAGTTTTAAAATTTTTATAAACTCAATCTTATCAACCTTCTTGGAACCATTTTTTCTTTTCCAATTATTTACTTTTTTTTTCTATCCTATTTTGGCAGGTCCAAAAATTGATGTATCACACATTTGAAGAATATGAGTGCAATTTGGAGGAAAAGATACATGAATTCCCCAATCCTTGCATCATTTAAATAAATGAAAATTAGTGTGACTGATGATTTTCTAAAAATATGAAAACAGGATGTGCAACATCTTTCAATTCGTCATCAATTATAACCTTTAAAGGAGCGTTGGTTTTGTCATCAAGATTCAGTTTTAGTGAACAAAAAATTGCTATTGACAGTTTCAGAATCATATGCAAGATCTTCAATCCGTGTGAACTTTTCTTTTAAATAACCTGGGTTTTTAACATAGAACCATTAGATCCAAAGCAATAGCAGACAGTAATGTTTTCTTTAGGCCTTAATAAATTAACTTTATAAACTGTTTTTGCACCTTTCCTTAAGAAAACTCTCTTCAAACTTGGGTTTAATTCAAAATTTGTCTTATCGATATTGTAAAAAGCATCTAGACAATCAAGGACACAAAGTAAACCATTTTTCCTCTGTAAAACAAAAGCCTAACTTTTGTGATGAAATACGAGATTTCATGATCTGAGAATAGCGGGCTTTGGCGTTAGGCAAAACCTTATTTACAATGGTTCCTAGCAGTAATAAACAGATGTCTGTTTTCTGGAGAATTGTTTTGCTGATAGATATGGAAGTAATGGGTTTTTTTTTTGGCAATTGCAGCCGCACAATGCAAGGAAAACCATGGAGAAGAGTGAGGCTTGCCCTGGAATCGTCGAGAGGGAATAAAGGATTCCATGCCAGCCTGAATCCATGAAGTTATGTAAGAAGCACATTTGTCAATAGGAAGACGAAAGATTTCTACCCAGGGGCCATCACGAAGAAAATCACGGAAAGAGTCCCAGTCAGCTTTAAGGTAGTTGTAAGATGTACAATGATAGGGGATTCTGATGATAAAGAAGAATGAGATAATAGTTTTAGAGAGACCAAACTATGATTGGATGCACCTAAGGGTGAGTGTGGAGAAACTGATCACTGACTAGGATCAGAAACAAGACATAAGTCGAGTAGAGAAGGTAAATGATTCAGGTTATCTGGAAAGCGAGTTGGAAAGTTGACTATTTGAGTTAGGGATTGAGAAAGACAAAAGTTGTGGGCCTGAAAGCCTGCAGAGTCACTGACACTAGAGCCAAGCCATTCAGTGCGATGAATGTGTTCATTGAAGTCACCGACAACAACAATATTGGCTGATGGATAAAAAGAGAGGGCTTGGTCAATATGATCAGAAATAACATCAAGAAGAGTGCAGTTTTGAGATGAAGGAGAGCGATATAGAACAAAGAGAAAGGTGATAGAGTGAAGTGGTGCTAAACGAAAGCACATAAAAGAGTAGTCTGTGGATTCAAACCTAGTTTCCTGACAAATGGGTGAATTCTTACGAATGTAAATGCCCAGGCCAAGCATGTGACTATTGGAGTCTTTACGAATTAAAGGAAGATAACCATCAACACTAAGATCACAAGATGAGACAGCTGAACTCAAATTAGTCTCACAAAGAGCAAGCAGGTCTGGTGAACTTTGCAAGAGATAAGACTCAACAGAAGAAAAGTTACTTCGAAGACCACGAATATTGGTGAATGATAGGTTTAGCGAACTTGATGACTGTGTTTTTTTGTGTTTAAAGAACTTGACTCGAAACATAGATAGTACTCAGTACACTGTTTTATAGCCCAAGCAATTGCCTCATTTCCATTAATAAACCCTAAGCCATAACAAAGGGATCCAATGTGGCTTGGCAATGCACACCAAAAGTACAAACAGGGACACCATCCATGCGCAACATGGCACTGTTAGTACTTTGATATTTTTCAGCTGTTGATGGAATAAGCCTCTCTGAGAGCTACCACAGAGTTTGGGAAACCTGACTACTAGCTGGCCTCCGAACCATAAAACTGAGTTTTAGAGCTGTACCCTCATTTGGAGATAATAGAATGATTTGCCTAGTCATAAAAACAGAGACACAAGCAAAACCCATGCATCAAGTCAAGAAGATTCAGCGCTCAACATCATAAACTAGAAACAATGTATTAAAAACACATCTGCACCAGCCTAATAAATGAAAAAGGGGTGTGAGGCTAGTCAACAGATAGAATCTTTTGACCCCTTAAGTCTTTGCCTAGGAGGCCTTCTACAAGACAGCAGCTGGATGCATTTAACATCTGCCCAAAATGAATATTTTTATCAAGACACCATCTCTAGCCTTTACTCAACTAAGAGCTCCAAGGCACGGGATGTTTTATGTCGGAGTTGGCATCTCCTAGCCTTTGCCTAAAAAGGCATATCCTACAAGGCAACAGGACATAAAGCAGATTGTTCTGGGTTACATGTTACCAGTAGCAGGATAAACCTGACCTGACCTGAATGATCTTACACAATATTTTGTTGGAAGTCCATTTTCCAAGATTTTCCAGGTTTCCGCGCGTCTGAAGCATCTATAACTAAATCATCTATTGTTTGAGGATCTCCCAAATTAGAAGACATAACAAACCATTCAACCAATTGTTCTTCTTCAAATTCAGTTAATACATTTTTTGGACCAGTTTTTTTCAGACTTTTTCCGTTTTGTCGTTTTTTTAAATGATAACTAATTGTTTTTTCTTGTATGTTATTTTTTGGAGGCAGCATAAACTGATAAGGTTTTTTCAGAAATTTTTCGCAAGGCCTCCTGCATAGAAACAGCTTCATATTTTTTTATATTTTTGAGATAAAGCGGCAATTGTTGCTTCTTCTTCATCAAAATTATTGCAATTATCCATGTTGACATTATAAATCACATAAATTATTTTGTTTAATCAAAAAATAACTTCTAAAAATTTTAAAACTTTTTTTATTATAATCTCGCAAAAACAAATTTTTTTTAATGCAAAAAACATATTCATTATTTACATAATTTTAAAGTCATTTATTATTTGATTTAACAATAAATTCTCAGTTAAAATGTTGTATTTTGAATTTAAACATTGACGAATTTAAAATGTTGTATTTGTTGTTTTGACGAGTTTAAAATGTTTGTATGTTTATATAAATATTATGCATTCTCAAATATTAATCATCTTCATCTAAGATATTATCCATAAAGTGTAAAAAAAAATGAAAAACTTGAATCACCGCAAATTTTGTTTTACAGAGGAAAAATTCAATCCTTGAAATTTAATAATGCAGTTAAAGTTATGTAAACAACAAATATTTAATTTTTGTTTAAAATGGTTTTGTACACATTTTTACAAGTTTTGTGAGCTAGTCAGAACATTTCAATTACTCTATAATTTTTTTTCATAAAAAAGTACCACAACAAACAGATACCACAAGAAACAAATCTTTTTCCCTAATTAAAACAGTTTTATTTTGTCATAAAGCTGTTTTTTGAAAAAACTTTCAAATATTTCTTAGTTGCAAATCTATTGCTTCTTTAAAGAATCTACAATTCTTTCTGTTCACTCTGAATACTTTTATTTGCAATTACTAAGCTTTGATGGTGATTTAATTAGAGATTTCAAATCATGCTATATATGATGATTTACAGTTTAAAAAATACTTTGACTAAAAATTTTAATTTCAATAAGTCAAAACATAGTTTTAAAAAAAAAAAAAAATTTCACACATTTAAACTTTTGAGAATAACTGTAGAAAAAAGCACATAAACTTCATCATCATCATCATCATCATCATCATCATCATCATCATCATCATCATCATCATCATCATCATCATCATCATCATCATCATCATCATCATCATCATCATCATCATCATCATCATCATCATCATCATCATCATCATCATCATCATCATCATCCCATTGATTAAAAATTAAAAAATTAGATTATAAAAATTTGCAAATGAAAAAAGTACCTTTCTGGTTGTCCCCATCGTGCTCTCTCATCGTCAGAATTTTCTGAACTTTCAGACGCAGAACTATACCCATTATTGTCGCCACTTAAAAACCGCAATTTTTTAGATCTGCCAAATTCATCTAAGCTATCATCACTTCCATCATCATCAGAGCTCAACTCACCATCTGTACTGAGTTCACCATCAGAACTTTGTTCACCGTTATCTTTTTTTTCTTGTTTAGAGATATTAGAAGGAACATCAATAGTTGAACTTGGCTCTAATAGTGGTATTTGCACACAACTATCCTCTTCCTGCTTTGCTTGTTTCTCTTTAATTTTTAGTCTTTCTTCTACTTCATCGTCACTTAACACTTCGCCGTCTTCAGATCCACTAAAGGTTTCCCTTTTTTCTTTAAATGCCGTATTAATGCCTAACATTTTTAATAAATCTTCTTTTGTTTGAGGATCATTAGCATCTTCAGACTTCTGAGCATCATCAGGATTTTCCTCTTTACCACTTTCAGCAACTTTTCGGTACTTACGATCTCCATGTTCAATATGTTTTGTTGGAAAAATTGGTGATTCTGATTTTAACATTTGATTTTTGTATTTTTGAAAAACATTTCCTTTAACAATAGGAGAATGAAGTTTGATATTCATTTTAGAAGGCTTTGCACTAAACTGAATGCTTAAGGATGAATTTTTTCCATCATCTTTTTTTTCACCTTCTTGATCTGATTTTGATTGGATATTATCTGCAAGATTATCAGACTGCTCATTCAAAGTAGCAAGCTCAGCTAACTTTTCTTGAAGTTTTTTCTTTAAATCTTTTTTCTTTTCTTTTTTGTGTTTCTTTTTTTTGCTTTTTTTCTCTTTAGGATCTGATCTTGCTGGAGAAACTGGTTCAAACCCATCACCTGAATATGCAACAGGGGACTGCTCATTTACTGGAGTATTACTTGAACTTAGTGTTCTCAAAGCTTTAACAATGATAGAATAATCTGTTGCTTCTATATCTTTATTACTTAATGGATGTGTATTATGACTTCGATCATCGTAATGATTCGATTCAAAGGAATTTTCTTTATCTTTATTATTAGTATTCCCTTGTAAGAAACCAGAACGAAATGTAGAATCTTTAGATTCATTATATCCTGTATACCTTAAATCAGAATCAGCATTATACCTACTCGAGTCATATCGTTGTACATCATTGCCTGAAAAAAACCTTTCTCTGCTGTCAGATGGATATTTTTCAAATTCGTTTTGCCTCATGTTATTTTGAACTAAATTTGATGAATGTCCAATGCTATACTTTTCATGATCATGTCCTAATGAGGAATACCTGAGAGATTCAAACTGATCGTTTTGTGAAAAGTCTTTTTTTTCATCACGAAGGTCAGAATAATTTTCATATGGTTTTTGATCATTATACTGTTTAACTTTATCTCCATATGCATTAAAATTATTCTGGTTAAAGTTTTGCATTTGAACATCAAAATGCTCATTGGGTCTACTAGGAGGGTTACCTTGAAAAACTGATGTGGGAGGAAAAAAGTCAACTGAATTCTGATTATTAAATCTGTTAGGTGTTGGTGACATTGGATTACGTAACATATTAAAACGATTTCCTGGAGGTTGGAATCTTGGGTGACGATAAGCACTGTCTTGATTAATGATTCCTGGAGGTCTCCCAACTAGAGGAGGTCTATGAGAATCAAAATTAGAAGAAGGCCAAATAGGTGGTTGTTGAATAACTTGTCTTGGATTAAAATTTGATCTCGGAGCTATGTTTGGTGGAGGTCCACAAGGAACAAACTTAGGCGGTGGAAGACGTGGATCAAAATTTGGAGGATTCTGCATGTTGAAGTTTGGAAGAATTGGTGGTTGATCAAACCTATTCGGAGGTAGATAAGGATCAAAGTTTTGTGAAGGACATCTTGGGTTAAAATGTGGAGGAGGAAATCTAGAATCAAAATTAGGAGGTGTTTGCATAAGATCAAATCGCGGTGGAGGATGTCTTATATCAAAATTATGTGGAATTCTTTGAGAATCAAATTGTTGCATAGGATTAAATGGAACCTTTTGAAGTTCAAAATTATGTGGATGCTTTGGATCAAAATTCAATGGAGGATGCTGTAATTCAAAATTGTTTGCAGGATGTTGCACACCAAACGAGGGAAGTGGCTTGACGGGATCAAAATTTGGTGGAGGTTGAGATGTAACAGAATTTTGATTCTGTGGTCGAGAATTATTTAAAACATGTTGTTGAGGGATAAAACTTGTTGAAGTTTCTTTAGGATTTTTATCAAGTGAAATAGTAGCGGTTGATGGTGAGGAATGTGAAGGTAAAGACAACTTTATCTCTGAAGCAGAACTAGCAACTACACTATTCTCTTTAACTATAACCTTGTCTTTACTTTTTTGTTCCACCTTAATTTTTGAATTAGGTTCTTCTTTAACTGCTTTTTCTTGAGGTGGAACACCAGCAGGAGATATTTGACATATGCCGGTATCATTTGCAGTAGACTTAGGCACAAAACTATCATTATTTAAAATTTCTATTTTTGTAATTTGTTTAGTTTGATTTTCTTGTAATATACTTGTTACTTGTCTCATCTGCCAAATATTACTAGCAGTTTGAGCACAATGCTGGGTGTTTAAATGCAATGAATTTGCTCCAGATTGAATACCATACGAAATATCACTTTCACCAAGTAAGTATGATCCAGATAAAGCTCTGGGTATACCCATACCAAGTGTAGAAGATAATGTAACGGGAGTAGCAACAACTCTTGTTCCGATAGTTTGGGGAGACCCAAGACCTATTTGTGCATCATGTAAGGCAGCTAAACTAATTGGTGAAGATGTATTGTTTTGAAGATAAGCACTATAATCTGCATAAGCAGCAACTGCAGGACCAGCAGTCATAGAGCTAACTGGCCAGAGTACTGAAGGACTTCGCAATATCATTGGATCTTGACTATTATAAGTAGGATAAATGCCAGCATTAAAATTAGCTAAAAAAAAAACAAACATTTCATTTATTATTTATGTTGAGGTTGGTAATTATTTGCCGACCTCAATCTTTTAGAAGTCAGAAAATTTAATACAAAGGTCTTATTATAAAACATAGAAACAAGTTCGGCAATTTTTTGCCGACCTCAAACACTTTAAGGTTGGCATTTCCTAATTCTGAGGTCTTTATAATTATATCTATCTATCTATATCTATCTATCTATCTATCTATCTATCTATCTATCTATCTATCTATATATATATATATATATATATATATATATATATATATATATATATATATATATATATATATATATATATATATATATATATATATATATATATATATATATATATATATATATATATATATATAATTTAAACACATACACAAAACACACACATATATACAGGCCTCAGCAGGAGTAAATAAGTCCAAGAGCGGTAAACAGTGGACAGTCTAAAATGGACATGGCGAGCAACCCGAGCAATAGGCTTTTTTGTGGACGACTTATTGATATATAAATTAAAAAGTTCATGAATAAATCAAAACTGATCACGTTTTACTAATAGTTTTTTTAGGTTTACACTGTAATGGCTTGTATCTACAAAAATTTATAGTAATAATAATAAAGATGAAATTTTTCATCTTTATTGTTATTACTATAAATTTTTAATTTCATCTTTAAAAAGTTCCTTTAATAGTTTTCTTCTTTGTTAAACTTTTTTTAATAATTTAAAAAGTTTAAAAATCACACTAAAATATCTCTAAGCGACAGAACAAGTAAAGATGAGAAAAGACTTTTGTAATTAAAACTTGAAAGATCATTCATTGGTTAATGTTTTTTAAATTCATATTTCAAATATAAACGCGCAAATTTTTATAACTGTCTATTAATAAAGTTTATATAAGCTTGTATCTATTTTTTCATTTTTATTTAGTCATACTTTATTTATTATTTTGATTATGCATAATTATGTTTTATTTATTAAAGCGATACTTTATATTAAACGCGCCAGATGTTTTTAACTTTTATTTTAATGTAAGAAAATACGACTCAAAATAAAAAACTATAAATTTTACTATCAAAACAAAAAACTATAAATTTTACTATTTAAAAAATTATAATTGCATACTTGAATGAGCTTTATTTTGCGAGTGTAAAATGATTTAGACAGGTGTTGAGGCAGGCCTGGGATATCACCTGCTATTTCTGCCGAGGCCTTTTTCCCTTTTTATTTATATATATATATATATATATATATATATATATATATATATATATATATATATATATATATATATATATATATATATATATATATATATATATATATATATATATATATTATATATATATATTATATATATATATATATATACATACATATATATATATATATATATATATATATATATATATATATATATATATATATATATATATATATATATATATATATATATATATATATATACATGCAACTCCTGATAATATACTTCAAATAATAATCGCTTTGGCTTATCACAATTTTAAATTTTCCACTTGACATATTTTTACTTGTTTTTGAATTAAATTTGTTAAAGTTTTTAGTACTAAATATTTATATTATAAAATATTATTAACTTCAAGTTATATTTCTCATTATTTCATATCATAAATAGTATTTTCATGCTTTATTACTTACATATATACCTATTTATAAAACTTAAATTATAATAAGTTATTCAGTTATTAAGCTTATTTGTTGTTGTTTTTTATGATTATAATATAAGTTTACTCTTATCATCTAAATTTAATAGATATTAATGTATTATATACAGGCTTGGTCGGAAAGCGGGTGCGATCGCACTCGATAATTGACCACGGAAATAATATTTAGTTGCGAAAATAATGCAGTCCCCGGCCCTGAAAAGTCCAACAAGATTCAACCAATAAAACTAACGCTAGATGATTTATTTATAAATAAAAAAGTTTTTTCAATAACTGTTTTATGCTTGCGTAGTTTGAAAAGTTTAATACATTTGAAACAATTTTCCTTAGTAAGATGAACAAATGAAATAATTAAATCAATGAGTTACTGCAGAAATTCAATTAGCTACATAGAAATTAACTAAAAACGTTAAATTACTATGTGAGGAGGAAGCGGAACTGCTTCACAATAACGCTGAAGATGTTTAATAAGTGGGCCTTATAATTTTAATTAGTGTTTAAAACAGAAAAAAGTAACTTTAAGTTTAAGTATAACGAGTTTGTAAGAATGGCTGAAGCAAAAATAAGTAAAGTTAGTAAACCAATTTCTAAGAACTTAAAAACTTTTCTTTCTTAAAGTAAAGAATCAGTTATCGGGTACACTGAGGAAAATTGATTAGTGGTTAAAACTATTTGTATTAACTTTGATGATTATTAATAATTTCATTAAAAACGCAGTTATTATTGAAAGTATTTTTGTTTACAAAATCAATCGCACAAATTGCTTTAAAAGATTACATATGAATAAAATACACATACATAAAATTAAATGCACAAAAAACACATTCATAAAAATACATTACATACATATAAAATACATCCATTATATAATAATAAGAATATACTAATAAAACCTATAATATATTTACAAAACGTTGACAAGTTAAAAAAGATGAATTTAAAACATTTATTTTTGTAAACAAATAATGTTAGTTTAAAACATTTATAGCTTTGTAGATGTGGCAACGAGAATTAAAATAATAGTTCATTTGATAGTATATTCTTAAAACAATTTATGCTAGAAATCTCAACGAAAATATAACAAAACTCAAATAATACAATTTTTTAAAATAGCATTAGTTGTTCGTAGATTTGGCGGGTTTTTTGCATTCACAAATATTCTTTTTCTATTTTCCGCACAAAGATGTTTGAGAACATTTGAGTTTATGTATGTCTCCATGTATGTCCGTAAAACAAAATTTACAATAAAATAATGAACTTGATTAAGGAAACCAACATAAACTTAAATGTTCTCAAAATGACTAAAAAATCTGGCCGGTTTTTTGCAATTAAATATTATTTCTGTGGTCAGTTATCGAGTGCAATCACACCCGCTTCCCGACCAAGCCTGTATATATTATGTATAATTTACAATCTATATACATACTATATAGATTATCAATATATTTCTCATAATTATTTATTACTACTCAAAATTGTGGAATTACTGAATATAATCAGATTCAAATAGTTACCATAAATGAACTTTACACTGAACATAGCCCTGCAAGTAAAAAAAAGTTTTCTATATTTAAGCACTAATCTTAATGTTTGTTTCAGCTTCTAAAGTTCTTGAACAATTAGTTGAAGTTCTCTCTAAAAATCCTCACTAAATTTTAATATGTAAAGTAAAAGTTTAGTTGAAGTTACAAATCCTCACTCAACCACAATTTTAATATGTAAAGTAGAATCAGGTAGAATGAAATAATGGATAGACTGTAATAGATGATAAAATGAAATAGTAATGAAAATGTTTATTCTTTTGCTCCTACTTATTTATTGAATAAACATTTTGCAAATACTTTTTAGTCATTTTTTGGAGAATTTTTTCTGAATAAGATGAAATAAAATTGTAATAGAACAGAAGTTTTTCTATGAATAGTCAAATAGTTAATTGCATAATAAATTATTGAAAAAAAAAAAAAGAATGAAACTCTTAAACTTAAAATGTATCCTTGTATTTTTATGCTAGTCAAAAATTTTTTTGCAAAATAAATTTTGCTAGATCCGATAAAAATTTATGAGTTAAAAATGGAAACTATGGGGTTGAATGAAATATGCTAATTATTTGCTTGGTAAATAGGGCTTTTATTTATTATTTATCTAAATTGACCAATGAGAATCTTTATAAATTCTTTTTTCAACTTTTAAATTGATTATTATCAAATAATCTAATATAAAATATACATCAAAAGAACTTTCACACACACATACACACACACACACACACTTACACACACACACACACACACACACACACACACACACACACACACATACACAAAAACAACATACATACACCGAAGACTTAATTTTGCAAAACTGCAAGCACAGTTTTGAGAAAATAAAAACTTGCAAACTTTCATTTAAAAAAGCTGCTCAATCATCCAGCTTACTGGTAGCAACTCTTTATAGGCATGTGAAAAGAATAGGTGAAACAATTGGTAATGGTTCAAACACAAGATTGCCATAACATTTTAAATCAACTCTAGTAGATACACTCATCAAATTATCCAAATAGGGCTTTGGCAGAACTTATAATGACATTGTCACTAGAGTTACTAACTATTTGCAACACCAAGGTCAATGTTATCTGTTTTATCATTTGTGGAATTTGATGAATTTTTAATTAACAATATTATGAAATACATAAATGCTTTTTGATTTAGTATTGCAATTATGATTGCAGCATTAAGTATTAAAATTAGAATTTAAATGAAACAATCAAAATTAATTTTTAAAAATCTAAATTTTAAAAAAAGAAATTAAAATTCTTAAAGAAATTTTTATTTTTGCAACTTTTTAAAAAAAATGTTTATACAACTTAAAAATAATATATAACACTTTTTTTTTTTAACATCATCGCTTCCAACAAGGCTGCAATTAACTACTATCAGAGTTGAAAGTTACTGGAAAAAAAAAGATCAAGATTGTAGATCAAAATAACAATTGACAGATGCTAGCTCTTTAGAGCAGTGCCCATTATAGTATTTGTAGAAAAGAGAAAGAGAAGCAACATTACGACGATGTGATTGGAGGTTGGCTGCAAGAGCAGGTACAATTATGTTTACAATGCGTTTTTGCACCTTGTTTAAAAGAGAAAGGGTATCATTAGAAGATCTGCCCCAGATTTGGCAACAGTATTTCATACAGGGACAGATTTGAGATTTATAGAGATAGAAAATAGAATCTGGAATAAGGAAGTGTCGAGCTAGATAAAGAGATGCAACCTTAGCAGATGCTAATTTTCCAATGGATTTGATATATGGTTTCCAAGAAAGATCAGAAGAGTTAATCGTAGAAGATGAAGGGTAGATGACTCATCAAATACATTACCGTTCATAAATATAGGAAGATTATTGCAATAAACTTCAATCAAAAGCAATAAATTATTGTGATAACACTTTTAAATAATTTAAATTATTCATTAAACAATCATAAGAAGTAATTTGTAAAACTTTAATAAAACGTTTTAATCTTTTAAGCACAATTAAAAATGTAACCAAAAGTAATTTTTGCTTTGAGCTTGAGTTTTTTGAGTTTTATTTTAGTGCTTATACATTTTCTTTTTTATAAGGAATTGTTTTCTTTTTTATAAGGAATTGTTTTCTTTTTTATAAAGAATTGTTTTCCTTTTTCATTATTATTATTACTTTTTTAATTTTTTTCTTTGTTTAGGTTTAGCAAGCGTTTCTTTTTTCAGCGCATTTCCAAAATGTTTAAAAATCATCTAAACATCTAAACAATCATGGTCAAGCTGTCAAAAATAAAATTATTTGCATAATCAGCAATATCACTCAATCACACGCCACTCCTGATTCTTGAAAAGCTAATGTTTCCTAATAAATCTATAAATAAAATTTATAAAAATTGTTTTCTAAAAAAAACAAAAAAATTATTTAAACTGTTCAATTAGATTCAATTAGTTTTAAAACATTTTTTAGTAAAATTAATTCATTATCTATTACTAAATTAAGTAAATAATCAAATACTGATTGCTTTAGTATTGCATTTATGATTGCAGCATTAAGTATTAAAATTAGAATTTAAATGAAACAATCAAAATTAGTTTTTAAAAATCTAAATTTTAAAAAAAGAAATTTTTACAAGATTTTAATTAACTATATCAAAAACTTTTTTAGAAACTATTTCTCATATTTACGTTGAAATCATCTGCAAAGTAAACATGCTTCGGTATTATGTTAGGTGCGGTTAGGGGTAAACCAAGTTTACATTATTTTAAATTACTACCTTCAAAACTAACAACTTCTCTATAAATTAAATTAACAATAATAACTTTTTTTTTAATTTCATAATGAAATATAAACTCACAATTTATTTTCTTCATACTGATATCATTACGTAAAATAAAGTAGATTAGATTTTGGACAAAAATAATGTTTAATGTTGTTTAGTTGTCCGTTTATGCTTAAATCTTTTATGAAATTACTTTAACATAGAGATTGCCAGAGAATTTAGCTACCCACCGACAGTATGCAAAAAAAAAATCTGTACAATGCTGAAGATGCAACATTTATTTACCTTAAATGCCAGATACCACCTAAAAACTAAGAACCCAGCTTTTGTTGAGCTTAGCTAGTGACCTAGCTAAGCTCAACCTCACAACCTAAGAGCTTAGCTAGTGACCTAGCTAAGTTCTTAGGTTGTGGAAAAATGCACAAAGATGTACTTAGGTTGTGGAAAAAACACAAGAACCGGTTACCGATACCAAGCCTTCTCAGGAAACGCATGCGGTTTTTTATCTTGCATGACCACACATGAGTATTTCATTTTAGACAACTTGGTCACGACTGCTTTGCAATTTTTATTATATTAAGTGTTGCAGAAAAAGTTTCAAAAACAAAGAAAGCAAAACTAACAAAATAGGAAGTTAAAATAAACTTAAATAGAAAAAATATATAATAAAACTTAAAATAATTTTTGTACTGTTTTTTTTTTGTTTCTTTAACAAGGTTGTTATAAGACCAAAAACCGCACAAAAAACATGTGCGGTTTTTGGTCTTGTAAGTTTACCTACAACTTCTATAAAGCCCTCATCAAGGTAAATAGAGGAGGAAAGAAAGAAAAGAGGGCAGAAGTTAGCTAAGTATAAAAGGGCTAAGTATTTATCAGAAGTTAGTTAAGTTTAAAAGGGCTAAATATTAATCAGAAATTAGTTAAGTATAAAAGGGCTAAATATTTATCAGAAGAATATATAAATATTTGTTTTTTATTTTTATTTATTTCTAATTTTTAAAATTTTTTGCTTTTACTATTGTATTACGAAAAAAGAAAGTAATTAAAAAATATATTCATCATTTTTCCTGACTGAAAAAGTTGAAAGTAAAGCTGCATAAATACAAATGTAAATTGATGGCTAGTGAGAATAAAATATCAAAAAAATTAAAACTTGAATAACATTTTATCTATGTAGAGGATGATCCATGTAGAGGAACATCAAGTTGACTAGTTTTTATGTTAGAATGAAATACTTCAAAAAAAAATTCATTTCTCATTTACTGCAGAAAACTTTGGGAATCCTTTTAAAAATTTTTTATTAATCCTTTAAAAAAAAATTTTTTTTTATTACCCTTTTTTATTTTTACTTTTTCTAAAATAACTACTAAATAGCTACTCTGCTACTCTAACCTAGGATTGGCATAAAAAATAATCAATTGAAATACATTGACTAATCAACCAAAATGCATGTTAATGCATTTTGGTTGATTAGTCATGTGTTTTCTGATTTTATAAAATCAGAAAATTTGTGTTTTTTAATTAATAATATTTAATTATTTAAATATTTACACTTACTTTACATTTGAACATTGTAATTACTACATACATCATCCAAGTCATATTTTAAAAAACCGGAAAATTGTTTAGATAAAATATCCAGAATATTCCGAATATGTTTTCTCTTATTTTCCTCTTAATTCTGCTTTTAGCTGAATTGTTTTGAACTTTTTCAAACTTTTCATAATTTTTCTATGATTGATGAGTGAAAAAGCTTAAAAATCAATTATAATATATACCCTAAAAATATATACCTTAACTTGTATTTATGGGATACATTTTGGATATCAAAGTTTAAAAAAATATTCGGAATTCCGGAAATATCCAGAAAAAAATAATCCCTATTACTATCAAACTTTTAGTTATGCTAATTATGCTAAAAACTCTTAAGTAATTAAAAGTACTAATTACCATTTTGTCGTAAAAGTAATGGATGTAAATGTTCTGGATTAGTTTGCAAGTGATCAGAGCCAGTGCTACTTCTTCTTGATCCGCGTCTAGCATGTTTACTGCTTGAAGATCTTCTATTTTTCTTGTGTTTCGACTTGTGCCTTTAAAATATGACAGAATAAACCAGAACATTAAATCTGGTAAAACGTTTTTATAAAACTATGGAAAAGAACTTTTCTAAAATTAATACTCAAGCCTAACAAACCAATAGCAAAACAGGAGTGCTTTAAATTATAGCTGCATCTTTCATAAAACATTTTACTTGTTAATTAAACATTTTTATTTCTAATATAAATTTTTATTAACATCGTAATTTTTAAAAATTGCAAGGACT